ATTCGAGGATGTGCTTTTTCTACACGCTCTTCTCTCTCGTTCACATTCTAATTTCTTCGGTTATATATATATATATATATCTCCGCCTCCTTTCTTCCTCCGTAAAAAAACAAAAGAGACAGACAACTTGGAACATCGTCGCGCGTCTCTCTCCATTCCTTTTTCTGCCTCTTATCGACACATCAAGTCTCTCAAGACTTGGCGTACAATGGCATACGTACACAGTGGATGGTTGTCGTTGTCGGCCAAAGTCGTCCCCTTTCGTTCCTTCTTTCCTCGCTCGATACAAAAAAAAAAAAACAAAGAGAATCGAGGGATCACTCGACGAGATCCTCCTACGCGGTCGAAGAGCAGGAGGGAGAAGAGCACGGACAATTCCCAGGTGGCGTTCTTGTCGCGGTTCGCGCGGGAAGAGCAAGAAGAGGGCGCCGCGTTCGAGCTTGCGGTTAGTTCGTTTCTCTAAGGATCCTCTACACGTTTCGGCCGACCACCTCTCTCCCCTCCTCACCAGCTACGTCACTTCGATGTCTTGCGTCTAGGCTGCGCGTCCAGTCTCTTGTTTCTTTTTCTTTAAAAGAAAGACAACCGGCCTGGCAAAGTCTCCTCCTATGTGGGCACTTTACTGACCGCCTTCAGAAGATCACTCTGCGTCTTGTCGAGGCCGCTCACGTGATGCTGTTGCTGATGCTGCAGGGCCGCGTTCTGTTGCTCCTGCTGCATCTTGGCCTGCTTCTCCGCCTGCTGCTTCTTCATCATCTCCTGCTCCTCGCGTTCCCGCCTCGCCTGCTCGTTTATTCCTTCACCGCCCTCAACTCCTTCTTCAGTTTCATCCGCCGATTCTGGAACCAGATCTTGATCTGCCGTTCCGTGAGGCAGAGGGCGTGCGCGATCTCTATTCGCCGCCGTCGCGTCAGGTAATGGTTGTAATGGAACTCTTTCTCGAGCTCGAGGGTCTGGAACCGTGTGTACGTCTGCCGGCCCCTGCGCCTCGGACACCCGTTCGGTCCTGGAAATGTCAGAAACGCAGATTTGCCTAGGTTAGTTTTTTCATGTAGCATGATTTGACCCTTTTAACCCTTCGCACTACCCACAGTCAACCCTCCGTATATACGCTTACCTCTCGTACAACGGTTGAACGGTAGAGTGTGACTCGTGAAAGTATTTATACGCAGGAAACTTTTACAAATTTAAAGATGGATCTGCTAATGTTTATTCGTATAAGAATTGATTTGAATTGATAACAATTCAAATACTTTCGTAGTCACTACACGCGTAAAATGGAATAATCGAATAAAATAGTCGAGATTGAGAAGAAGAATTTGGAAAAAAGTCGAAAGTTGACTGTCGGCTTAGTGTAATAAGCGCTTAAGAGGTGCAAAGGGTTGGTTTGAATAAATAATATTCGATCAGCTATACGTTTCCAAATAAAAGTTTGACTTCGCTGATGCAGAGGAGTTCGATTATGAAGACGATTTTTATTAAGGAAAAAAAAAAAAAAACGTTAAAATTCAATTTTTCTCCCGTTTCGCTTGTCCACTCGCAAATCTCAACTCTCTCCACGCTTTCCCTTTCGGGGGAAGAAGCAGCACTTTCGGTTTATTGCAGGGGTTGAACGAAGGTAAAAAAAAAAAAAAAGGGAAGAGTAAAAAAATAGAAAGTTTGGACAAAAGTTCCTCCATTGTCGCGAGAAGGAAAGAAAGAAAGAAAGAAAGAAAAATTGAACCCTTTTCGTGAAATGCCTTTTCGACCAACAACTTTCTCCAGACCTAGAAAGTCAAAGTCGTAAAACGCAGGGGTAAACGCAGGGCACAGTTGAATTTTTTATGGTGTTTAGGTAACTATCATCGAGCTGCGTGTCCACGCGCTAAAAAGACCGGTGGTGGTGCTCGTCATCTGGCTCGTGCCCGATGTGTAAAAAGCTTTCTTCCTTTTAACATCGTATCACGGCCCATTTTCATCAACAAAACACGAGTATAGAAATATTTTTACGAAAGAAAAATAGAAAAATTGTACGAATTCAAATTACACGCTCGAATGGATAAACAAAAGAGCGTCGAATTACCAAACTGAGGAGTATCGAATTACGCCGGGCGACCGACTTCACGTTTCGTCATGGAGTGGGGATAACGACTTACGAAGCCGCCACCAACCACTCTTCCCTCGAATATTTCCGTATCCAAGTAATTGCAAACTCGACTTTTTATCCATCCTCCCCGAAACTTTTTCACTTTTCCACCGGGTTAAGTAAATATCTATAAGAAATCAAGGGAACAGAGACTTAAAGTTTGAAATAAGTGTACACACAGTTTGGTTATTCGCGGCTTATGTGGCATAGGGATAAGATGGCGGCGAGTTGCGCCATCTAGAAGCTCGATAAACTTCTCACGGGCAATTTTCGCAATTGGCTCGAACGGTAATTTTACTTTCCGGCCGCAAAAGGGTGGGCTGGCTCGCATTTTCAGTTCGTCGCTAAGAAACCGGTTCCCCGGGCGCAATGAGCAGTCGGCCATAATACCATCATTCTTGGGAAGACGCTGAGTGGCCATATGATCGCCTCGTGATGAAGCAAATACGCGGCTACCGGCCAATAAAAGATAGCGAAAGATTTCGTGTTCGATTACGCGCTCTCACCGGAATCGCGCCACTTTCGATTAGTAAACGCGGCTAAAAACTTCTCAACCTCTCCGATAAAATCTTCAACAATATCCTCGTATCTTTCGAAGATTTACTTCGAATTTTACGGAGAACGAGAAAACGAGATCTAAATATCGAACAGTTTGTAAAAAAAATTCTTTTTTGAATTTCAAAATTTCTTTTCAATAAATCACGATTTTCCATAAATTCTCGCGAAATTTCCTTCTTCAAGAAATCTCGATAAGAAACAAACCAGCGACAGTCATCCGTCGTTCATCATCGTCCAAAGCCGTGGAAAAAGAGAAGAAAAAGTGAACGAGAGAGAGAGAGAGAGAGAGAGAGAGAAGAGGCAGCAGAGAATGCAGAGAATGCTGAATTCAGCATGGCCGTTCGCAGCAGTGCGGGGTCCAGGATTCACTGTGTATGCGTGTGCTGCTGAATTTTTCTATCCGTGTAACTTCTCTCTCTGTGTAACAATACGTGTGTGTGTGAACATGGTGGTTGTGTGAGTTTAACTCTGAGCCAGCACCACGGCCGGTGCAGCCAGCCACAGGGTGGTTGCCGAGGCTGGAGGGGTGGACCATAGGTTACCTTGGCAACCGGAGGGAAAACCATTCCATCCTGCTGGCGGCACATCACCACGCCAGGGGCGAGTCAAGCAGCCAGAAAACCCTTCGTTGCATCCTCTTCTCGAGTCTCTCTTTTCGAATTTTGTGGCTTCCCTTTTCCCACATTTCGCCCACCATAAATATCCCTCAAGCGAAGCATTATCAACAATTTCGTTGGATCAGGCTAATGTCCATGCAGAATTTATAGATAACCGTTATTTCCGCCCCTTGGGAGGGAGAGCCGGCCAGGATTTCGTCAGACGGGGTTAACAGCTGGGCGTGAAGCTTGTTCGCCCCTCGGAGGACGCTTAATTTATATACCTTCATCCCCTCCCCCTTCGAATATCTTTCAATTTCTCTGGCTTCCCTTTGATTGGTTCAAGCTCGAATTCAAGCTTGGAACGAAGGGAAAATGTAAAAGATGTTCGTCTCTGAGGCGACGAAAAAGGAAAAAAAAGATACAGTAGTTGTTTGGAAAGAATTCGACAAATGTAATCTGGTTAACCGATTAGTATTTTCACGATTTTTCTTGACACTACTTTTTGATGGAGAATCGAGGAAAAATGCGCGGAATGCTGAGCTCTGGACGAGACACAAGCGCGAAGGGAATTGCTTAGTTATTTTCAAATGGCGCTCAGTCGATAACCTCCGATCGAAGATCGCCGATGACCTCACACGACGTGATTAATGAAAGAAGCGTGTAATATGCGATTGCTCTGAACAATAGATAAATCTCTCCCCTCTTTGTTCTCGATACTTTACGTACATTTTCATATTCTCGCACGTTCTCGAGATGTTATACATGTCTCGATAAGCTGGTTTACATTTATAATTGATACTTGATCGATCATAAATCAACTAGTTCATAACAATCGCACAGTTTAGAGATGGGTTAAAAATCCAATTTTCTTTCTTTCTTTTTCCAACTTCCATCACTCGTTTGTCATCAATATTATCTATACGTAAATAAGAATCAGTTCGTTTATTATATACTCAGCGTTCTAATTCGATATGTCAAGCGTATAAGCGATAACTTTCACTTTCTTATTTCAATTACCATTGAATATATTAAATGATGACTGCTCTATCTATCCATGCATTTACTCTCTATTTAAGAATCTATTCTGATTTCAACGAGTAATTTATATTTTCTTTAAATTAAATTAAAAATTAAAATAAATTACAAATTTATTTACATTCTCGTATTTCTAAACTCGCATAAGCAAAGTTATACGAATGACAGAAAATTAATTAAAGCTTGCTCTCTTTCAACGAATTAAACAAGAATAACCAGATCTAGATGCAATTTCCACCTACGTCTCATTATATAGGCCGCGTGATTCAGGAACAAAGGAGCCGACAGGCAAGGGGTCCATTTTGGCAAAATGGCAGGCGATGCGTAGTACACGCGGGCAGCGCGAACGAAAAGGGCGACGGCCTGCGCCTAATTGCGGCCGTATATTAAGTTTAATACCTGCTTTGGGTGGCCGCGTGCGGCTTTACCATTCGTCGAGTAGACGAGGATATTGCGGAAGTTTGCCCGGCTGCGTCATCCCTTCCCTACCTCCACAACCCCTCCCACCATCGGGAAGATTCTATCAATGTTAGCCGGCATAGGTGTGTTCTCCAAGTTCACTTATACGAAATCCATGGGATCGAACTTTAAACGCTTCGATTGCGCTCGAAGAAAAACTTATCTCGTCGTAGTACACTCTCAGAGAGAGGGAAGTTAATACATGTCGGTTGAAATGGGGCGAGTTCTCGAGACGAAACTTGGAACCGAGTTTATATATCGCTAATAGAGAGTCGCGGTAATTTCTTAAGCTTGCTTCGAAACCGAAGAAAGAACGGGATCTTTTTAAATGTTGTTGTAAAATATTAATCGAAAAGTAAAAATAATTTGAGGATTATTACGGATGGGAGACAAATTGTGATTAATAACAATGCAGTTGCTTGCCGCGATTAAAAATAGAAAAAATTGTAAATATCTAAGACGTACGATATTTCACGGTTCAACAGACACGCGCTCAACAGGGATATCGAGATAACTTCAGACGTGTATCTCTCCCCCACGTTAACGTGTCATCCTATCCAACGTTCTTGGATTTCTTTCCACACTCTTCTCACCCTGTACGATAACCAGAGATCCAATAAATCGCTTCGAGGACGATTAACGTCAGTATCGGGTTGGCCATCGAGGGCCATCGTATTGGATCCCCAATATCGCGAAATCGTGGAAAACGATTCCTTCACATACACATTCGTCCAATGGTGATACTTGTTTTTATTCGTGGAAAAACCGCGTTGCGAAATATCCGCTAAATACTCGCGGGTTTTTGTCGTTGCTTTGGTGCAACGATCGGGAAAATTGCTCAACTTGGCGAAAAACGCATGGAAATCGCCACGAATTACGCCGCACGGCGTAAAAGAATTCGCAATCACAAAGAGAAAGTGTACGGCGTCGAGCTCGAACACTTATAAACGCGTTACATCTCGCGTATCATTATAGCGATTGAAACGAAAAAAATTAATAATCAGCATTGAGAAATAAATAACGAAATAATGAATAATTTTTCACTTGTACGATTATTTATCACTTGTCAAAGAAAATTTTTAAAAAACTTAATCCCAATTAAAACGATGGTTTTTGAAATTTTCTTTCATGATTCAAGCATTTCAAAAAAATATAACAGATATATTGACTAAAGAAACGTTATCGTGAAACTAATGATGATAATCGCTTAAAAAGACTCACAAAAAAAGA